TAACTCTGAGTACTTGCACAGGCACAACTTTACTAGGTACTCCTGGTGTAGAATTCTGGCTATCTACTGCCAGAATTTTACACCAGGAGCTCGCTCTGAAATACGGTCTCGTGGACCGGAAATTGCCGTATTACAAGTAATTGCCGGAAGCCGTGCTCGAAAATGACCGCGCCAGGCTCTACTGGAACTGGGTCATCATCACAGACCGGGCACAATCATAGAACCTCGTGAAAGCCGAAACAGATAAGCGAACAAAATATCTGGACCTGGCTCACGAGGTGATCGACATGTGGGGTGGTCGGCCGGCCGAAATTATTCCTGTAGTCGTCTCTGCAAATGGGCTAATCCCAGTCAGCCTCTCGGGTCATCTGAGGCGACTGGGACTCCGTGACGGACCGCAGAAGGCAGTGCTCCTCGATACCGCCCGCCGTCGGTTTCTTTCCCTTTCCTCCTAACCCTCGGCCGTTTGGTCTCTCCTGCTGAGGGCTTTCATCTGGTTGGATCTTATTTATTTATGTATTTTTTTTTATTTATTTTATTTTATTGATATTTATGTATATCTATCTTTTCATTTTAATTTATAATTATATATTTATAGAACCCAACCAGATGTGAAAATAATTTATTATTTAATAAATTATTTGCGTAAGACATAGTATGAATGTTGTTAACATATAAGAACGAGCGCTCATGTTTTGCTTATTTTACATAGCATGCATTATTTTTAAATAATGACAAATAATTCCTTAGCTATTAGGAATACAATAATTAGTCACATGATCTAGTTCAAAATAAAATATAGAGAAGTCATATCCTATACCTTTAAACGGGCAATTCTTGTATATATATATATATATATATATATATATATATATATATATATATATATATATATATATATATATATATATATATATAATCGGAATCTCGGAAACGGCTCCAACGATTTTCATTAAATTTTGTGTGCAGGGAGTTTCGGGGGGAAATAAATCGATCTAGCTAGGATTTATTTATAGAAAATGTCTTTTTGTCCGTGTTTTTAGGCAATGAAAAACTGCTACAATATTGTTAGATAAGAAGGTAAATTTTGACAGTTTATTAATGATTGCAAATAGCTTAATTGGTATATTGAGCGGTCACAAAATCGTAATACCATGGTTCGAGCCCAGACTGACAGACTTTTTTTGATTTTTTTTTCAAGTTCCTTTCTTTTTTTGAGAAAATCTATTTTTTTCGAGCCCTTTTTTTAGTATTTTTTAAAAACACGAAAATTTAAATTAAACTAATTGCACTCATGATTTTATATTTAAATAACCAGTTCAGTTTTTTCTATTATGTCGCTAAGATCAAAAAATATTATTCGTATTTCATCAGTATGTAATTTGTATCTAAATATAATTTCCAAAACACACGAATTAGAAAAAACCGAGCGAAAAATACCGAGCAAAGCTCGGTCAACCGTGTACTTATAATAATTCATTAAATGTCAATTCTGAGCATCGTCAATTGCAATACCTAGTGAAAATTCGCATAACTTAATTAAAGATATATTGTAACTATACTTTAACAATAATATTTAAATGTAAGTTTATATAATATTATCCGATACAGAATCAAATTTTTAATATCCAAGAATTTTTTACGCTATAGAAATTATTTTCATTGAGCCATTTGGACAATTTCCTTTTGAACAATGTAATGTTTAGGGTTTTAAGTTCGTCAGGGAGTTTGTTGTATATTCGGACACACATGGTAAGGCAACTTTTGCCGTATTTTTGTGATTTAGGTCACAAATCATTATGTACCTTAAGTACTAGCTTGTGTGGGTCGCTACGTGAGCGAGTAGACTGTACCTCACAAGCTTTCTCAAATAATTGTTTGTGTCTCTGAACAAAAATACAAATTTCAAAAATATATAGTGCTGGTAGTGGCAGTATTCCAAGACCTTTAAATAGAGGCTGACACGATTCATCAGGTCCGCATTCCGCTGATTGCTCTGATACATTTTTTCTGCGCAAGGAATACCCGATTCCAATCCGAACTATTTCCTCACATCACCAGTCCGTAACGAAGTTTAGACTCGGCATAAGCTCGGTAAGTCATAACAGACGTTTTTATATCTGTCACTTTTTTTATTCGGTTGAGCGCGTATGAATATTTGTTTATTTTATTACAAACATCATCGATATGTTCTTTCCAGTTCAGATTCTGGTCTATAATGACCAATGATTAGTTTTTTCGATTTCATCGATTTTTTTAATATTTAGCTTGAAATTGTATTGGTTATGTTTTGATTTATTGAATTGAATAAAATTTGATTTTGCTAAGTTAATTTTTAAATTGTGAGCTTGTAGCCATTCAATTATCTTATTTAGTTTTAATACAGGGTCCCAAGCAGGTGGTAGTACCCAGCCTCCTTCTCTATTGAAAGTCAGTCATCCGAAATCCTCACAACACCGTAGGTCACACTGTGTATAGGGAAAAGACCCATACAAACCGATATTTAAACGGTTAATCTCACCACCATCCTTCACAGTAAGCTACCGTGGGCAAATCTATGTTACAGAGAGCACGAGGGATCTGTGACAGCAAACACCTGGCCACCGAGCTTCAGCACGTCGTAGTTCGCGCAAATATAAAAAATCAGTATGTAAACAAATATTATTTTTTAGGGTTCCGTAGTCAAATAGGAACCCTTATAGTTTCGCCATGTCTGTCTGTCCGTCTGTCCGTCCTCGCTTAATCTCTGTGACCGTTAGCACTAGAAAGCTGAAATTTGGTACCAATATGTGTATCAATCACACCGACAAAGTGGTAAAATAAAAATTGGAAAAAAATGTTTTATTAGGGTAGCCCCCCTATATGTAAAGTGGGAAGTGATTTTTTTTTAATTTCAATCCTAACGTGTGATATATTGTTGGAAAGGTATTTAAAAATGAAGAGGGGTTTGCTAAAATTTTTTTGATAATGTCAATAATTTCGGAAATAATCGCTCCAAAAGTAAAAAACAATGTGTCCCCCCCCCTCTAACTTTTGAACCATAAGTTTAGAAAATATGAAAAAAATCTGAAAAGTAGAACTTTATAAGGACTTTCTAGGAAAATCATTTTGAACTTGGATGGAAACACCCACCCACTACCGGGAGCAGTTGCAGGAGCGCGGAGCGCTGCTGGAGCGCGAACATAATGAATACCCACCTTTAAACTCATAAGTGGGAACGCTTATTGTGACTGACGGAAAACTACGGAACCCTACACTGAGCGTGGCCTGACACGCTCTTGGCCGGTTTTTTATATATTAGATTAAGTAGATAAATTTAGATCTATATTATTAGGTAGATCCTAACTTTAGGCGGTTCATTAAGTTTAAGGCGGAGATGTCTCGGAAAAGATGCGGCGGTACTTCACATCGCAAAAGCTTTAAAAAGTCCGCAAGACCCAATGCAATTAGAAAGGAAAAGAATATAATAACTTTTATTCAATATAGATTACCTACAAAAGACTTTTTGAAAGTCATTTACGCTTTTACTTCTGGCTTGGAAAAAACTTCTGTACTATCACGCATTTCTTATATGGTTGCCATTATATTCAATTATAATATTATTATATTAAAGTTAGTCGAACGAATCAGAAAAAAAATCCAGAGGGACTTTTAAAAAAATAATGTAAAACTTAGTATGTTGTACAATTAAATGTGAAAATATTTAGAAAAAGCATAGCATTGATCACTTTTTTCCTAGGGGTTATTATCAGACATATAATTTTAAGTAGTAAAAATCAAAACGCTACTAAGTGGCGCTTGGCGCTAGTGAAGATGTATGCTGAGAGGTTTATTGGTGACCTTGATTTGGCTCTTGCTTTGTTGACCTTGCGTCTCGGTGTTGTTTAGGATACATCCTGAAGTTTGCACAACCAATTTCGAACATCGTACTATTACGTACGTATTCTACGCATACGAATTAAACCGTTAACTTCGTCTTTCGTAATTCGTACAGTAAGGGTGTGGAATGATTTGTCAGTGCCTGTGTTTCAGACCGACTATTATGTGGATGTCTTCAAGGGAAGATGATTAATTACGACTTACGCAAATACTATAAGTGTAGTGTTCATGTTATTTTTAAGTGGTATTGTTATCTACTGGACTCCTTTTTTGCCTAGGAATTCGTATGTGCAGGAGTGTAGTACCTTACTACCTCTCACTGGTCTCTTGGGTCTTAAGAAGATAGAGAACCTGTAAAATTATAGGCTATTAGTCACTCCATCTAAGTTGTGTGCCACGCTAGCGCGACGTTTCTTGCATCCGGCGACCACGACCAGTGAAGGATATAAGTACATGTTTGCGCGACTTGCATTTTAATCAAATTGTTTTGATTTTTCCGCGATGCAAAACATAAATACGAAGATGTTTACTAGCGAAATAATGTCTCAGTCTACAATATGGTCTAGTAAGCATGAAAATTATATGAATAATATTATATTTCCCAAAAAGTTTTGTGGGTATTGACGTATTTCATCATACAGTACAAACAAACAAACAACACAAACGACAACTGTACAAACTGATGGCTGTTTTAGTTTAATTCACGAACTCCTATTTTAATTTGCATTATATTTTGAGCAAACAACTAATACCTTCTGGTCATTTTTAGTCCTCGCAAAAAGTATCATACTACAGCGGCAAGGCGCAGCGTCGTCACGCCTCCCACCGCCACAGGTCGCCTCCGCTACCCGCGGTCGCTCGAGCATGGCCAACGCCTACTCTTAAAGGTCTTAGCCCACTTACACGACTCTGCTCCAACACCGCTCCTACCCAATACCGCCCTGAACTAAGGCGACAGCTAGCTGGCACCCAGCAGTCCACGTGACGACAGCTAGCAGGCACCAGCTGTAAACGCGGCGACAGCCAGCAGGCATCCAGCTGTCCACGCGCCGACCGCTTTCGCTTTTCGCGATAGACACAGTTCGTGGTCAGTTTCCATTGAAACAACTCGTATTTTTGCTATGTCTCAATTCACAACGCTCGAATTAGCGATTATTGCTATTGGACTTGACGATGAAGATAGAAGCTCAAAAAACAACAGACGAAGATTTTGGGTGCATAAAATGCGGCCGACCGGCGAGCGCGGTGCGGCGACCGCTAGCTGTCAGCGAGTGGACGCCGCGCAGACCGCTAGCTGTCAGCGCGTGAACGCCGCGCAGACCGCTTGCTTGCAATGCGTGGTCAAGAGGAGTCGACTGCCGAGCAGTCCTGACAGCGGTAAGCTCGCTGTCAGCGAGCTGTCCGCTAATTTACGTTGCCAATGTAAAATATATCTAAAGAGCAATACTTAAAGCCCATATTTGAATTATATTATTTTTCCCGGGTGGGAGCGGAGTTGTGTGAGTGGGCTAAGAACCTAAGTTCTTGCTGGCGTTGTGCAATTTTTTGTGTCACTTGTAAGGCTGACATTATCACGCAGTTGACCGTTCCTCAAATAAATTAAAATTAAAACTTTTTTGAGCGCTTCATTGCACATCTTCATTGAATAAAACTGTTTACACGGATTTTATCGCGCTTAGTTAACTTATTTTGTAATTTAATTTTTAATTCTTTGATTCCCATCTTTTTGGGTGCTTTATAGCACCCATGATTACGGCCAGAACTGAGATTTTTGTTGTTCAATTTCATAGTTAGCCCGGCTACCTTCAGTTTATGAATATCAATTTTTGGTACAATCTACGCAGAATGAGCTTACAGTGTCTCGAAGTCTTGCAGTGGTATGCTTGGGTTTGGATTTAATTTTGTTAATTATAGGATCCCAAACAGATGGCAGCACCCATCTATCTTCTCTAATGAAATCAAGATTTTTTTTTAATTTTAATAGCCTCACATATCATACTTGGTAGGGATCGGTGTATTTTTGCGAGGATTTGTGGTTTATCAAATCTGATTAACATGTTCACAGACTGCAGACTTCCCGGAGCGTCGGTGCTTTACGTCAGCTATATGTTATTTCTCGCGGGTTTTTATAGATCTTTTTCTTTATCCCTTGTAAGAGACACATTCACAATTTAAGAATAATATCGGTAAGGAAGATTTGGAGGCCATACGTCAAGATATTTCATCCTTGTTACGTTGTAGTTCAGTACCGAAATCAAAACTTTCTAAGGCGAAATCAAACCTTCCTAAACACGAATTTACAGCGCTGAATAACTTATGCAAACATGAGCTAGTAGAGTAATAGTGGACACGTTAGAGTATAATTTTAAAATACAAAGCTTTTATGGGACGAAAGTGCATATAAAAAGGTCAAAACAGACCCTACTACTAATACGCTTCAAACAACTAGCGATTTAATTAATAAATACTCCGAAAAATTATATTTCGACATGAATTCGATAATATCATATATGCCAAACCACCGAGGTTGTATGGGTTACCGGTGATGTACAAACCAAACATTCCACTACGTCCTATAGTGATCCAGATCGATTCACTGACTTGTAAGTTGGATCAACGCTTAGCAAAAATACTGTCACCGCTGAGAGGACATACCAGAGCACACACAAAGGAATCATGCTATTTTGTTATTGAGATAAAAGACAAATATCCCACTGACAATGAAGCTATGGTCAGTTTTGGTATTCAGTCACTATTCACATGCCTACCTATTGATGACTGCACCTCAACTGTAACCAGGAAGCTAGAATAAAACAACATGCCTGAAGAATATGCGATATTACTTAAAAAATGCCTCACATCTCACAATCTATTGTGGCAGGAGGAATTCTACAAGCAAGTAGAATCTGTAGGTTCCCCTGTATCTCCCATAGTCGCCGATATATTCATGGAGGACTTTGAGGAGAAAGCCCTTCTTACTGCTCCTGTAAATTCAAGATTCTACAAGCGGTACGTAGACGACACTTTCACAATTTTACCGTCTGACAAAGTAAAACTAAATTACAATTCAAGTGTTCGCGTAAATTTAAGAAGTATCTTCATGTTGAAATTGACACGTCTGTTGACTTTTTTATATGATGTTGGCAGAGGACTACAGTCTTCAGTTATCATCAAGTGGACATTAAATTCTTTAGTCACGAAAAAAAAATATTACGTTAACTTACTCAGGATGAAAAACTAACACATTGGTCGTCCGATAGCCTTGCCTTATTACTGTCACTTGCTTTACAAAGCGTAGAGTCTAGTAGTCATTACAAGTTAGTAATAACTGCCTCGTTGTTCTATTGGTATCGAAAGAGGCTGCTGATCATGTGGTATCGACTTCGAATGCAAGGTTGGGCCAGAAATCAATTATTGAGCTATTCTGTCAGGAATTCTCAATAGCAGTCGGAGTCAGGAAGTTGCCATTGAACCTGGGGGTAATCTCTTTTTGGTCGTGTCCCATTGCCAATTGGACTATAAGAGGACAGAGAAGATAAAGAATAGATATAAGGGAATAGAGAGTGCACCTGTACTTGAACATACGCCCTGGCGCTATAATCCTGTCTTGTGCAGAAGTAGAGTTGTCCTTGAAACTGGTCGCCAGGGACTAAGCGCTCGCTGTAAATTTGACTCGGCTGTAAGTACGCCAGCAACCTGGGTTTGATCCCTGACGGAATTAAAAATGAAATTTTGAATTGCAATTTTAAGTGCTAATTTACCACACCACGTTTTCGTCGGTAAGAAAACATGCACACAAACACTTGCATATCCGCAAGGATTCCACCATAAACGCATTCGCGGTGAATATTCCTTTGCTATCAAACCTTCACAGCAATAAGAAGAGGCCTTTGTTCAGCTGTGGGGTGTATATAGGCTGTAAATTTATTTTTTTACTTTTATCTCAGCAGAGAAGAATATCGAGTAGCGTGAGATAAATGCCGTAGCGAAATTATTAAAAGCTTACGATAATGATAATGATTCGATATAAGTGTTGTTCTTCTCCGCCCGTGGAGACCCAGAATCGATGTACAAACAGTACAATATGTACCACGTCAAACAGCTTTTTTTAATTATATTGGCGTAAGAAGACCTTACCAACAACGCGACAGCTATTTTTTTATTTATTTCATGGAATAAGGGTGGCAACCGAGCATAAAGTCCACCTGATGATAATTGGTTGCTGTGGCTTATAGACATTTACATCCATTCTCGATTCAGAATCAAAATGCAAATGAGTTGTCACCCCTGAGGACTAAGATGGAATGTCAGTGAAAAGGGTCTCTTGTTCTCTATACGCACTATACGCAACTACATTATTTTGCTATTTGACGTTGTTTTTGTGAGAATGTGCTCCTACCCCAGGGCGGATACACCCATGCGAGCTTCATCGTTGCAGCTCTACCACGTAAAGATGACGCAAACTACTTGAAGATTCGTCCATACTCATCACGCTGAGGTGGTCAGTAGCTAGTTACTTCTACTAGATTACTATTACATTTGTCTTAAATTTTTATTAAGTTTATTAAATAAAACCTGCAAAAATGATGACGTCATTTAAATACTTCGATTAATTTATCCCATAAACATGCTTACCTTTTTTTTTTCGATTTGCTGAAAATTAAACCAATTAAACCCTTTCTCGAACCTGACATTAACATATAAGTACTGAAACACCTGGCGAAGCGTGAGATAAATGCCTCGATGTAGTTTGGAGAACCAATTTTTATAAGGGTGTAAAATACGTCCCACCATTCTTATATTGTTACGTAAAGGTACATTTGTTTTACTCATATTCAATAGTATTAAGTTAAACTATGTATGCAATAAAAAGATGAGTGTTAACTATCCAAAAAATACGATATTGTACAGATTTAAATAACACAGTTTTTATTCAAAAGTTATTTCAAAAATTACACGCCTACCTAAATTAGTTTGAAAAGTAGGCATCATAAAATTATATACGTTCCGTACACACTTTACATAAAACTACCTGTATCCTCGTGTTTTTTGTTGTGCTTTATTTTGTGGGGAACGGCCAATAAAATATCTTTTTTATTGGCCATGGCCTTGACAATAAAATATATACAATATTTATTTTATTTTTTAATTAAGTTTTAAAATAATTATGATTACTAATTCTGAAATGCTGACAGGGATGGAATTCGGTTCCTAATTTAAAAATATCCAATATCCAACTTTTGAGCTTTTCAACTTTAACAGAAATAAATTTACTTTCTTAATTTTATGAGTTCAAAGTAAAAGTTTTATGAACTAGAATTTGATATTTTTTGTAGCTGCGAAAAGAAAGAAATACTTGAAAATTGGACTATTTAAAAAAACTTACGTCAATAACCTGAGGGCGTTCAATATATTCTCGGTATTAAATTTTGAAAAATAAAAACATTAAAATATTTTTATTTTTTAATATAGTCTTCCATGCCACCAATAAATTTACTTGTTCGTGAAAAAAGCTTTTCTATTCCCTAGAAAAAATATTCTTCATCTTGGCCTGAAAAATGGTTAATTACAGCGGATTGAGCTTAATATCGTCAGCAAATCGTTTTCGCCGAAGGACTTTTCTTAAGTTTGGTAATAAAAAGTAGTCACTAAGGGCTAGTATATAGTAGCATCTGGGCTGTATGGTGGGTGGTTAATTTCCTCAAACCCGAAGTCTCGTACAGCAACCTTGGAGAGCCGCGCCGTGTGAACCAGTGCGTTGTCGTAAAAGAGGAGCACTGCCTTTGTCAGCAGTGCTCTTCTCGTTTTATTATATTTTGTTATGGTTTCACCTTTTTTGTGTACTCGATCAATGGTATTTTTTTAAATCCAAAAACACTGTGGCCAAAATTTTACCGCCCAATGAAATGACTTTGAACTTCTTAGGAGGGTCTGATCCCTTTGTATGCCATTGCATAGACTCCTATTTACTTTAAGGGTCATAGTGGTGAAACCATATTTTATCTCCTGTAACTATCCTATCCAAAAACATTTGTTAGGTGGTCACCACACAACTCTAAAATCTCCCTACAACAGTCAACCCGCGCCTGCTTTTGAAGCATAGTAAATATTCACGGCACCTATCTTGCACTGACTTGAGATAGTTATGCAATCTGGTGTGTATGGTACCAACAGATAGGTTAGTCATATCTGCCAACATTTTAATTCTTACTCGTGTATCTTTCAATACACGTTTTTCAATAATTTTCACATCTCCTTTTGTAGCCGCTGTGATGAGCTCACCCGGACGGGGGTCATCTTCAATGCTTTCCCTGCCTCTTGAATTCAATTGACCGCTTTTGTACGGTTGACATTGAAGGAACAGAGTATTGGTAAACATCCACCATTTCTTTATGGATGTTTTTTGAGTTTTCCTTGTTCAGTGAGGAATTTAATCAACTCACGGTGTTCG